GGGGACAGGGGTGTGGAAGATGGTCCATCACCGTGGCTTCTCCTCCCGCAGGGCGCCCGCCACCCCTTCGCCCAGGCCGTGGGCAGGAACATCGCCAATCCCACTGCCATGCTGCTCTCGGCCACCAACATGCTGCGGCATCTCAAGTAGGTGCCTTTCACGTGGGGGGTGCGGCGGGGGGGGCAGCGCTGCCTCGGCCCTGCCCGGGGCGTGTGTGGGCAGCCGGAGCTGACGGAGGGACTGACCCCGCGGCTCCTTTCCTCTCACCAGCTTGGAATTTCACTCCAATTTGATCGCGGATGCGGTGAAGAAGGTGATCAAAGTTGGAAAAGTGAGTGTTGGGCAGCCGGCCTTGCCGCGTGTCTGTAGCTGCGTGAGCGTTCGTGGTAGCGAGCTGCTTGGCGTTCTCCCTGACGGACAAGTGCGAGTCTCGGACCTCCTCGCCCGTTTCCAGCTCAGAAACCTGCGTGCGTGCAGCTGTGGCTGCAGTCAGCTGCAGTCGGCCCCTCTGCGCTTGTCTCGGGGATTGCTCCTGCTGCCCGTAGCGGTGCTTGCTGGCTAGGGAAGGTCTGGCAGGGCGGGGGGGGCGTCGGAGGGGCCCTTCTCACGTGCCGCCCCGCTGGGGTCTCTGGCAGGGTGCGTGGAGGGAAGCTGCTCTCCTCTCCCTTCTCGCAGTCGGTTCACTCGGTTCACGATCACGTTTCTCCCTTGTTTCTCCCCTTCCCTGTGTTGGATTTTTAGGTTCGGACACGGGACTTGGGCGGTTACTCCACCACTTCTGACTTCGTGAAGTCTGTGATTGACAACCTGCACCCCCACTATGGTGCCTAGGAACCCCGCTCGCCCCGGGGAGTCGGGGACTTCACTGCACCCTGCAGCGGCTTCCCGTCTCTTACGGCCCAGCAGCGCGTCCTTCCCCCTCCCCACCCGGCGCAGCTCGCCCTGGCCGAGGTTCCCTGGTGCCCTGGGGGGGGAGGAGGAGGAGGAGGAGGGCAGCTCTCCTCCTGCCCAGCCCAGAACCCAGTAACCACCCCCAGTCCCCGCCAGCGGGGGGTGCTGGAGGGACCCAGGGCAGGGCTCCGTTCGGAGGATCCCCGGGGTCCCTCCGGTTCGCCTAGGCAGCGTCTCCGCCGTGCCCTCCCTGCGGTGAGGGC